TGGAGCCTGGATTTGGCCTCGGAGGAAACTTCCTTAGCCACCTCTCCCCAAGACTGCTGCAGCCCCTGGGGGAATCTCCTGTTTCATCATCCTTTGTATTGCTGATGGAACAAAGCTTCCCTGGGTCTCTCAATGCCCCTCACCTGCTGCCACTCACAGCTGCCTCAGTCTGTGCCTCTGGGGGACAAGAGGCTGAGGCTGAGTGGCCTGGGAACGGAAACCTGTGTGTGCATATTGGGGGCTAGGAAGGGGGCTGGGCAGGGGCTCAAGGACTCAAGCTGACAGCCAAATTGTTGGCCAATGGCTGGCTCCCCATTTCTGAGCCCCGCTGCGCTGTCTACAAACCACACCCTTCAGTGCATGGAGTAAAGTTATTTACGATACACTGATGTTCTTTCTTTGACTCTCAGGCCCACGAAGCGTCAGCAGAAGCAAGTGGGGAAGACTTTCTTTTCAGTGCCGCTCAGGAGAGCCATTTTGTATGGCAGGGAAATCCCTGCGGCAGGGTTTAAACTCCCCAAGGACAACTTGTATACCGAAAACCACTAGATGGAATGGAACCATTTTAGGACAGCCCAAAGCGATGCTGTGAGCTGCTGATCTGAATGTGGACAAGGGCTGGCGAGCCGGGCTATTCGCATCTCCCCCTTACACTCTTCCATCTCAACTCTTCCTGGCTACACACTCTCCAATCAGAGTTTAACTGTCATTGATCTGTGCATAAGGAATATACGGGCCAGATCCCTGCTGCCGGTATGTCTTCTCGGGGCGAGCAGGTTGGCTTAGGCACATCTAACCACTGCAGCTACCATCACCAGCTGGAGCCCAGGCAGGGGCGTGAGCTTTGATGTGAGCACAGAAGAAGCAGGGACAGGAAACCTTCTCCAGGTGAGCAGCCACACACGAGGACGGGTCAGTGCAAATGCGGCAGATTCTCTCCATGGCGGCCCCTCCAGCCACCTTGTGCAAAGCATGCCAAGTGCAACGAAGGGTGTCACCAGACCCGCGGGCATGTCGGGCATTTTACAGCCTCATCCAGAGGCCACCTTATCTCAGGACCTGTAGGTCCTACTTCTTACTTCTTGGTCTTGAACTCCTGACCTCAAGTGATCCACCCGCCTCGGCCTCCCGAAGTGCCGGGATTACAGGCATGAGCCACTGTGCCTGGCCCCTAATTCTTACTTCTTGGATCTCAAGTTTTCATACACATGCTGGGACATTTGAGGGGCACAGGGCTGCCTATGCAACCCCTAACCTTATGCCCCAGAGAACTGAGGCGGTCGAGCAGGCACTCCTAGATGCACCCTCGTCTCCAAGGAGTGGACGGGCCTGCTGGGGTCTTTGATCCTCAGGGGTTGCAGGGAAACCACAAGTGGATCCCCTCCTTCTTGCCCTGCTTTCTCCTTCAAAAGCCCATTTTCAAGGTCAGCAGCCAGCAGCGTACGTGTCCACACAGTCGGAAAGGCACAGCTGATGGGCTCTGCGGTGCATTCCATAGAGGTCGGCGACCGGACGGCAGCACCGGCACTTCCTTTACACTGGTTCTCGGTGACACTGCGCTGTTTTTCAACTTTGCATTTTCTTTCTGTCTTAACAAACACCAGAACTCGGGTTTCTCAGGCATCAGACAGGCCTAGAGCTCCATCTGGGGTCATCACTTATGTGCTGGGTGGCTGGGCAGGCTGCTTTACCTCCCCACACCTGTGCGCCCTCAGGTCAAGAATGAGGACCACTGCCCAGGGTTGCTGGGACTGCCCCGACATGATAAAGTTTACTCCTGACACGCGGCATCAGTCCTCGCCACTGGTGGGATTCCTGGGGCTTTAACTCTGGGCGGGCTCCAGTTTCTTATATCATGTATCTTATATAGTATATTATTTATTATCGTTATTATTTATAATACTTAGATTATTATTTTAATAATCTACAAACCTCAGAGGTGTGCATTTTTACTTTCTAATCTCTCTTCCCCTCCCCTCAGTCGCCCTAAGGTGCCAGTCGGGACAGCGCTGAGGTTTCCGAGCGTGCAGGGCGTCCAGGATGCATCTTTCAGAGCCGAAAATTGGCTGCTCGCCCCGTCAGCCCGGTTCGTGGTTGCCATGTATCTAATTCAGTTTAGCTAGTAATTAGTTTTGTATTACTTTACACGGTGATGTTAATACTGATTACAGGGCCTGATAGCGTTAGTAATAAATACAACCCAAGGCAGGAAATTACCTTTCTTCTGATTGGGGAAGGTTGAAGTCAGTGGAATGAGAAGCAAATTACTTTAGGAGACGGAGCAGCTGCCTCATGGGCAGGATTGACAGCTCAGTGCCCCTGATGTCAGGAGCCTATCCACCGGCGGGGGCAGCTCAGGAATGGGAAAGGGGAGCGTGCCCCGCTCCCTCTGTGTGTCCAGAAGCATCACCAGCCCCAGAGGCCACGGCCAACTTCGATGCAAAGACTGAATGAATTCCACGTATTCTGAAATAACTGGTTTAGGGAAAGACCCAATTCCACCTGAACTCTTCCCTCTACCCCTGCACTCCACCCCCTTCTACAAACACTGTATCCTCCCAGCATGTCTAGGACAGAGAGGGGCAGAGAAGCTGGAGGGGAGGGCCTGGCAGGGGGACAAGACAGGTCATCTGGACCACCTGGTCCAAGCTTAGGTTTCAGCAGAAAAAGCGGTTGGCCGTTTCTACTTGTGTGATTTATTCAGGGGAGTGAAGTGAGGTCTTCGGCTCTAGAATGAGCTAAACGGGGGGATGAGGAACAGATTCAGAGGGATGGGCCTCACTGGGGTTCTGAAAGGCTAAGTCAGCATCACCTCCCTGGTCTTCTCATCTGCCCTGTTCACACCAACTCATGACTCCCCAAGTGCAGTCCAGGGTCCACCCACTTCTCAATGCAGGCACCTAGACCGGCAAACAGCTGGTGTAACTCTGAGACCCAGCATACAGTAACCACTCAGTAAAGCCTGAAGACAGTCACAGTGACGGTTGCCACTCAAGCCTGTTCTGTGTTCACTGACAGCTTGAACCCCACCGGGGGCATCCAGGGGCGTCATGTTGTAGGAAGGGCCAGGGGATGCATGGCTAATGGGGAGAGCTCCGCTTCCATCTTCAAACACTTCAAATACCCTCAACCCACACGGATTGAGTATTGGATATGAGAGTCAGGGTTTCCAGGCCCTTCTTCCTGCTACAACCTCTGTCTGCAGCTGTTTCTGTCTTCTTCTCCTTCTCCTTCTTCGTCATCTTTTTCTTCTTCATACAGAGTCTCGTGCTGTTGCCCAAGCTGGAGTGCAATGGTGCAGTCTCGGCTCACTGCAACCTCCGCCTCCTGGGTTCAAGCGAGTCTCCTCCCTCAGTCTCCTAAGTAGCTGGGATTATAGGTGACCGCCACCACGCCCAGCTAATTTTTTGTATTTTTAGTAGAGATGGGGTTTCATCATGTTAGCCGGGCTGGTTTTGAACTCCTGACCTCAAGTGATCAAAGTGCTGGCATTAAAGGGGTGAGCCACCACACCCGGCCTCTGTCCTCTTCTTTTCCCCAGGCTCACTAGTGGACCCAGGTGCAACCTTGGACCCAGATCAAACATCCTCCTTCTCCAGAGCTTCCTCCAGCTTCCAAAACAGAACTCACTCCCCAACTCCCACCCAGAGCACTCGGCGCAGACACTTCTTGTGCTACTGAAACACATGATTATGGCAGAGCCTGGGGTCTTCCCTCAAAGCATTCCAGCCCCAGGTGCCAAGCGGCAAGGGTTTGGCTCACTCACCATTGTAAGCCCAGAATTGACCGAGTTAAATCCAACCAGCTGGTATCCAGGAAAGGCTTGTTTAAGGAGAGAATGAGTGAGCCAATGAAAGAATGGGGTTGGGGGTCTGTAGCAGGAAGGGATCTTACTCAAGAATCATCTTGTTTAATCCTCCTTGTGAAACAAGGAAGGTCAGGCTCAGAGGGGTTAAAGGGCCTTTCTCAAGGTCACACAGCCAATGTCTGGTGGGATTGGGGTGAGAGTGAGGCCATCTGGGTTCAAGGTTGTTGCTAGAAAGATTCCCGGCCCCTTTTACCCTATTACGTACAAAAAACATGCTTCACTCTGAAAGGAAGCTTGTGGGGTATGGAGGTGGGAGCCCAGGGAGCCCCTGCCCTGCCCCACCTTCCCCAAGGCCCAGAGATCAACGCCTCAGTACCCTGCCCAGGAAGCTCAGTACGATGCCACTTTACCCTGCTTCTTTAAGAGCATGAAATATCAGCCTTTTATTGAAAACCACAGAGCAAGACCATGTAAAATGTCTTTCTGTCTGAGGACAAAGTTCACTGGCCCCACAGCCCTTGCATGTCGTAGGCCATCCATCAACGGTTGGCGTTTGATGGAGTGTCTCATCATAAGCAAGCTGTCAGGAGAACAGATGGCCCGGCCATGTGCTCCACTCCCCCTGCCTGCCCGCCTGAATCCTCCAGGCAGCATGTATTAAGTGCAGGTAGGATCCAGGCATTTCTAACATCTTCTCATGTCGATGTATGCTCATGTAGAAACACAATAGCCCTAGAATCGCATGTCCATCCCTTGGGCGGAGTTAAAAGCAAGGATGTGGCTGTGGGGAGCAATTTACCTACAGTGGAAGCAGGAGGCAGACACCAGGCAGCTCCAGCACCCTTTCCTGAAGCCCAGACTCATTTCTTCACTCACTCACAAATGTCAACAGCGTTGCTCAACGAACCCACAATGCATAACTTTGGAATCAAGAAAGTAAGATGCTTGGGGATGGATGTCCCAGGTAGCTCTTGGAATCAGAGCTGGCTGATCCTACACCCATACCCACTCCCGACCCCAGGTGCCACCTTAGAGGTCAAAGATGAAAGTCACCTGGTGTAACCCCAGGGGGGCCCACCCAGGTGGGGACCAGGGTAGCCAGGCTCTCAGGTGCTGGTGCTGAGCCAGCCACTGTCCACCCCCTTCAGAGACTCAAAATGATTTCACCTGCTGAGCCTTTTCTCCAAAATCCCACCACATTAGGGATAATTGGCCTCCAATGCAAGATTCCGAAAGCACAATTATCAGAAGCCAGCCCAGGGAAGGTGGAGCTGTACCGTGAGGGTGGGACGTGCCTCCTGGCTGAGTCGAGGGACACATTCCCCTGAGACAGCCTGTGGCTCAGCTTCAGAGAAAGGAACCTGCCAGGCCAGCAAAGAAAACAACGGCGTTTCCCTTCCTGACCCGGGAGGCTGCCGGCTGGCGGAGCTGACCAGGGTCCTGAAGGTGGCTGGCTGGGCCCTGACACCAAGGTCTGAGGATACAGGGGTGTGCACAGGGGCTGGCTGGGGTTTGGATGTCCAGGACCCTTTGCACGGATGGACAAATACTTTCACCACTGAGATAAAGCTTCTAATTGAAGTTGAACCAAAAGTTTCTCCCCAGAACAGAGAATCTTTACAAAGACACAAAGAGGAGCATTTATGGAGAAAAAGCATCTTTTGGCCTGGGCATGGAGGCTTAAGGGTGCCATTAAGGCTTGGAGGGCCCTTGGGTGCGGCCTTGTCTAGGACCACCCAGAACCAGCCATCTCTTTGCCAAGATGTCTTGATAAGACACAAGCACAGCCCTTTGTAGGGCAGCTTGCCACTCATCGGGACCTGGTTGCTTTTCTCTGCAGGTATCTGCTCCCCTGTGCGTGCGTGTGTGTGTGTGTGTGTGTGCACGTGAATGAATGCATCTGTCCAGCCACAGTGGACAACCACCACCCCTCCACCAGGCCTTCCTGTGGCCAAGAAAACTTCTCTCGTAGAGGCCACACCGAACCTCTCCAGGGGGGACTGGCCGATCGTCTGGGCAGCACCAGGAGAGGGACTCTGAGGGTAAACGGGACGACGTAACCCCACTGCTGGATCGGGATTTGGACTGCACGTTCTGGGCAGAGCCAGGGAACCAGTGAGGGCTTCCAGGCAAAACAAGGGAAGCTCATTCAGTATCTTCTCTCCTGTGGTCTTCCTCTCGCTCTCTGGCCCTCCCATCTTCTCTCCTTTGTTTCCTCTTTTATTCTGAGGGAGAGGGAGGCAGGGAGGAAGGAAAGGAGGGTCAGGGGCAGCTGGGGCTTGGGACCAAGGTGCTAGCTGCCCATCACTTCCTGGTCTTGCCACTCCAAAGGGCCAGAGTCTCCCAGTTCAGAGCATGGCACAGTGGTATCATTGAAAGGGCATTTTAATGTCACTCCCGAGTAGCCCGGCTCCGGAGGCTGGCAGGCTCTTCCCAGCACCATGGTGCCGAAGCAGCCCTCCCAGTTCGGCGCTCACAGACAGCCCTTCTCCTCCCCCAAGACTTGCCAGCTCCAAGATGCATCTTTAAAATGGAGAATACCAAGCAGAGACCTTTCTCTATTGATACATTGTTCAGGGGACAACGAGCCCGTTTGAAATGCCCAGGATCCCCACACCGGCACACCACAGCGCTCTTCACTCCCCTCCTGCCGGGCATGTGGCCACAGCCCCCCAAGCCCTACACAGTAAGCCAACAATGCACCCAGCTGGCCGGTACGCTGGCTGCCCTTCCCGGTCTCAGCGGCACAATCCCCACCGCCTCTTTCCGGAGCCCCCAAGGGCAGCGTTATGCCCAAAGGGAGGATGTGCCACTCTGGGGTGTGTGTTGGGGGTAGGACTAAGGTCCTGCCACCTCCAAAAATGCCTGGGAACTTGGCTACCCGGCTCTCACTCTTCCCCCTCCAGATGACAATAGCAGCCAAACACCCCCTCGTGCTGCCCTTTGAACTTCTCAGCAGGGAGCAGGGGGCAACGGAGTCCTAGGAAAAAGGGGGCAGCTGTCAGCCCTGCTGGGCCGGGACTGGAGGAGCACCGTCTCGGGTCAGCCTGCACCCCTCCCTCCCACCCAGGTCTGGCCCAGCACCCTGGCCCCTCCCCAACCCCGGCGCTTCGGGCGCCCAGGCCGGGGGCGCGGGGCGGCGTGGAGCCGGAGCGGTTCCCGGACTTTGTGGGGCTCCCCGGGGGGGCCGGGCCGGTCGCCTGGCAGGGAGGAAAATGGCGTTGGATGCACGTACTTGAGTGAGTTCAGTGCCCATCAGGATGAGGAAGAGGAGGCTGAGGAGCTTCCGGGCCGGGTGCATGTCTGGCTGCCACCTCCAACGACCTGGCATGCAGGGCCCTGGGTGCTGGCCGGCCGGCGGCTGCGTGGACGCGGACGCGCTCCGGCTCTGGCCCCGGCTCCGCGGGCTCCGGCGGCGGCGCCTGGCTGGTGTCCCCGCGCCTGGATTCAGCACCCGGAGCGGGCGGCGCGCGGGCTCTGCTGCGCGAAGCCTCCGCTCTGCATATTTATCGCGTCCCGGTTCCGGCGCGTCTGCCTCCGGGCAGGGCTGGGCAGGGCTGGGCTGGGCGGGAGCTGCGCCCTCCTCTCTCCTCGCCTCCTAATGGCTCCCCCGCGCGCCTGGCATTGGCGGAGAGAGGCGCGCCCTGCGGAGCACGAACGCGCGCTGGGCTGCGGCGGGTGCCAAAAGTTTGCTCGGAAGGGGCGGGGGCGGGGGTGGCGCAGAGGGACCCGAGCGCCTTGCTCTCTCCCGGGGAGGAGGGAGGGCGGCGGCCGGCGGGGAAGCAGGCTGGGACAGGATGTGACATCAAAAAGGCGGGGGAAATTGAACTGGGATAGAGAACTCCATCCTGGCCGGCCTGAGCCCTCGCAGGCTCCAGGTCCGGGAATGGGGACAGAGGGGTTGCCCGCGCTGGGGACCTGGGCCCCTGGACAGGGAGTGGGCCGAAGACTGGGGAGAGGGAGTGACAACTGGGGGTGGGAGGGATGGGATGTTAAGTCTTGATGTCTACGGAGTGACAGGAGATAAAAGCTGAATGGGTCCTCAGAAGTCGCTCTTCAATGAGGTGAGCTGAAGCTGGGTCAGGAAGGATGTTTCCAGGAGGACAGTTCAGGGAGGAAGCCAGGCTTAGAACCCTGGTCACCTGGCACGCAGCCCTGATGAGTGGGGAGGTCAGCAAAGGGGTGGAAGCGGGAACAAGCACTGGGTGCTGGGCTCCTGTCCCCAGACAGGGCATGTGGAGGAGGGTCTGTCTGTGTGCTCCTGGGGGTGGATACACACATGCCTGTAAGGGGCCCTGTCGTTGTGTGTTAGGTCGTGACACAGCTCTGCCCACCCCAGGTGCCTTTTCGGAACCAGGAACCTAAGAGAGGAGCTCCCCCACCAGGGCCGGGGACGGAGGGCACCAGGGCAGGCAGAGCCAAGGGGGTTCTGGAAGCCCCCGGCCCTGGTGGGAGAGCCCCTCTCTTAGGTTCCTGGTTCCGAAAAGGCACCTGGGGCGGGCAGAGCTGTGTCACGACCTAACACACAACAACAGGGCTCCTTATAGGCACGTGCCAGGTCCACAGGGCCCCTTACAGGTAGGTGCGTATCCTCCCCCACCAGGACTCTCTTGGCTCTGCCTGTCCTGGTGCCCTCCTCCCCTTTCCTCCCTTTTGATGTCCCCTCTCCCTCCACCCTCCTTTAATGTGTACTCAGACCCTTTGACTAAAGGAACTGTCTTGCGGCCACGTTTTCCATTTAAATTCCCCATTTTGTGAGAGGAGTCCCAAGCACCTGTATTTTCTGAGAAGCTAAGGTTGCAGCAGGTATCTAGAAGCCTGTCTCTGTTCTCTGTTGTTTAGTCTTTAATCTATGGAAAATAAATTCCCTAAAGAGAATCTCTGACAAGAAGAGATGCCAGACCCAATAATTGCAGAGAGCAGCACTGCCCAGGATGATGTGGCCTGGCTCCTTGTGTCACAGATGAGGCTACTGGAGTTCGGGGGAGTAACGTACCGGGGTCACCCAGTGATATCCAGAACAAGGCGATGCCACCTCCTGCCCCTGTCACCGAGCTGCCGACGTCTAAGAGGCGTCCCCTGGGCACTGGGTGCAGGAGCTGGGCACATGTGCTGAAGAAGAGAAGATGAGAAGGACCCCTCCCACTTGGCCCTTGCACTCTGAGGGCCTTTGCTGCAGGGACTCTGTCCTCTGAGCCCTGGGGACAGAGCTCCCTCCAGGGAAGCCAGGGTGGGCTTCCCAGCCTCGGAGGAGTTTAAGCAGTGGCATTCCTGGTGATATGTCACAGCCTCTTAGGCAGGGTGGCCCCCAAGACTCTGCGAGGAGATGGTGCTGGGGAAAAAAGGTGGGGGGTGCAGCTGTTGGGGCTTCTTTTCTCTCTGCCCTCCTCGCGTTACTACTCCCAGTGTCTTTGTTGTCCTAGAATGGAGGAAAGTTGGTTGTCAGCCCCTTGGGGGTCATTGAGAGAAGCAGCCAGGGACCAGAGAGGACCCTGCATTTAGAGCTGAAGGACTCTCTGGGTAGCGGCTGTCTGAACCTCAGTCCCCACATCTGTCCCGTGGGAATGAATGGTGAGCATACTGTGGGTCTCAGGGGCTACTGGGGAGATCCAGCGCGGGAATAAACACACTTTATGTGCATGAGAACTCTGTGCATGGGGCACGCACAGCACCCCGGACCTCAACCCAAGTTTCTCCTTCAGCCTTCACACTGATGCTCCGGGTAGCCGCTAATAAATGTCTGGGCTCGGGGAGACATGTGACATGGCCATAGAGCTGCAATGTGACCCCCGTCTTTGGGGTTTTGTTCCTGTGGGTTGGGGAGGAAGGCTGCATTGATTTCCTTGGGTGGACCGAGACCTCAGATCCAGTTTTAGCAAGGATTGTTTTTATTTTTAAAGTTACACAACGCGTGACCCAGCCATTCCACTTCTGAGTACACACCCAAAGGAAGAGAAAGCAGGGACTGGAGCGGATATGTGCACGCCTACGTTCATGGCAGCATTATTCATAAGAGCTAAAAAGTGGGAACAGACCGGGCGCGGTGGCTCACGCCTGTAATCCCAGCACTTTGGGAGGCCAAGGTGGGCGGATCACCTGAGGTCAGTAGTTCAAGACCAGCCCAGCCAACATGGTGAAACCTGGTCTCTACTAAAAATACAAAAATTAACCGGGCATGCTGATGGGCACCTGTAGTCCCACCTAGTCGGGAGGCTGAAGCAGGAGAATCACTTGAACCTGGGAGGCAGAGGTTGCAGTGAGCTGAGATTGTGCCATTACACTCCAGCCTGGGGGACAGAACGAGACTCCGTCTTGATAAAACAAACAAGCAAACAATAAAAAAAGTGGGAACTTCCCCCGTGTCCATCAATAGATGCATCAACAGATAAATGTGCTCCATCCATCCAAAGAACTGTTACAGCCATGAAGAGAAGGGAAATTCCAGCACATGCTATAACACGGGTGAAGCTTGAAGACATTATCCTCAGTGAAAAAAGCTGGTCACTGACGGACAAGTACCACAGGATTCTGCTTTTATGAGGTCCCTAGAGTAGTCAAATTCACAGAGACAGGAAGTAGATTAGTGGTTACCAGGGACTAAGGGGAGGGAGGATGGGACATGATTAGTTAATGGGTACAAGTTTAAGCCTGGAGTGATGGCAACGTTTTGGAAGTTGACAGTGGTGATGGTTGCACAATATAGTGAATGTCATCAGTGCCACTAACTTGTTCACTTAACAGTTAAAACAGTAAATTTTATGTTACGCATATGTAACCACAGTTTTAAAAATATAGTAATATAATATAGCAAAAACCATTAAATTCTACACCTTAAATGAGTGAATTGTATGGTATGTAAACTATTTTTTTTTTTTTTTTTTTGAGATGGAGTCTCGCTCTGTCACCCAGGCTGGAGTACAGTGGCATGATCTCAGCTCACTGCAACCTCCACCTCCCAGGTTCACGCCATTCTCCTGCCTCAGCCTCCCAAGTAGCTGGGACTACAGGTCCCCGCCACCACGCCCAGCTAATTTTTTTGTATTTTTAGTAGAGACGGGGTTTCACCATGTTAGCCAGGATGGTCTCGATCTCCTGACCTCATGATCTGAATGCCTTGGCCTCTCAAAGTGCTGGGATTACAGGTGTGAGCCACTGCACCCATCCTGTAAACTATATCTTAATAAAGCTGTTTTTTAAAAAATATAGACTTATTATTGCATTTCTTTAAAAAGATAAGATACAAAGAAGAATGTAAAAGTACCAAAAGGCCTCTACCCAGAATAGCCGGTGTAGACAAGGGGACTGCTCTGCAGAGATTCCTCTGTGCATGTGGTTAGAGAATGCAAAATGTGTAAATGTAAGAGGGTGGCCTCTAAGACCAAATGGTCTGGGTTCCAAGCCAGAGCCTGCCTCTTGGGAGCTGTTGAGGCCCTGGGCCAGTCACCCTCTCTGGGTCCCATTTATCTCCCTGAGGGTGGATTGATGATAGCAGCTGCACCTCAGCACCCAGCTGAGGGGCGTCAGGGAGCCACAGCCGTGCCAGATACCTAGAACCATGCCTGGCACATGGCAATGGCTAGAAAGAAATAGGAAGGATGAGCAAATGCTGGTGTAAAAGATGACGTCATCCTTCCCAGGCTTTGCAGCCTAGAAATATTAGATTGGACTGCAATGTAAAGAAGGAAGGGGAACAAAGTCAAGCCGAAGACGCTGCTGACTTCAAGTGTGTTTATCTTCACCACGTGAGGCCTTGTTTCCTAGAAGAACCTTCTAAGATTGAGAAGGAAAAGTCTATGAAGACCATTAACTGTTTGGGATTAGACATTCTCTATCCCATGGTTCCATTTTTGACAATATCGCCCACTTCCTCTTTTGAAAGGCTGGGTAACATTCAGCTGCTCTTTCTCTGACCACCCTGTCCCTCCTCTCAATCCGTATTGCTTGTATTATTTGTATCTTGTCTGTGCTTTTAATATTTATATTTGCTCCTGCAACCCAAGCTCCTAGGTCTTTGGTTCTAGTTCTGGATTTTGGGGGATCTGGCGTTCACTCGGGCCCCTCGAGGAGGTTGCTCTAAGTTCTTCGTTGGGTCTACCCCTTCAGGGTTGGCTGAAGTTCGGGTGCAGGGTGGCCGCAGCCCGTGACACCAACACACCTCACTGCTGACAGATTTAGAGTCTTGTCTTTTTCCTCATCCCATGGCGTTCCTGTCTGCAAAATCAGGAAGGTCCTTAGAGCAGAGGCTTTACGTAGAGGTGGGTGTAGGGCCTGAGTCCCAAAGCTCCAGTCGGTCTGGGGCAGCCGCCCACCTCCTCCACCCCAGCTCTGAGATCCCGAGCTGCCTTGTGATGAGGCCAGGTGGGTACCCAGCATCAGCCCCGCCTCACTCTTTGGTGGGTACCGTGGGTCCCGGGACACCCCCACCCGCCCCTCTCCCGCTGCCTTCCCGATGGAGCTCAGGCAGCAGGCACCCGGGAAGCAGCCGCTTTCCCGCTGGGCTGCCTCAGGACACCAGCAAATCGATCTGCTTTGTGCTCCTCTAAGACAAGCCTCCTTCTACTGCTGAGCCCCATTAGAATGTGACAGAGCGTTGCCAAGGCAACAGCACTAACTCTCCCCTCCTCTCTGCGAATTTCCTAGCAAACGGGACTCAAAACCCACGCCATCGGCTGCCTGTGCCCTGAACCTTCAGGCTGCTGGCTTCACCCTCTCAAAACCCAGCTGAGCCGAGCGTGCACCCAGATGGCCTCCCTGGCCCCTGGGGACACCGGCCTGGGTGGGGGGCGATGGTGAA